ATTAGATATAAAATTTTCCCTTTCATTCAATTTAAATCTTCCCTAAAACACTAATTCATATAAATTAAATCATGACCTGTCATTGAAGTAAAAATAATTAGAAAAGATTACTAGTAGCATTCTTCTTTCACCTGCCAGAAATATTTTAATTTTCTGTCTTTCCACAGAAATATTCCTCAGGATCTTGACCATGTCTTCAACCCATACTCTTTTGGGTCAACTAAATTGATGACACTTTCTTTGGATACAGTTGAAAAGAATCAACAAATATACTGGATGCCTGGGTATAGCACAAAATTGTATCAGGTGGTAGTGGGTAATTCTCATGAAAATTCAGGAGGCTGCTACTTTGGCAAAGTTTCTAAAAGGCCAGAGGCCTGAGTCATGTTAACATTTATTCTAAGGCAAAAGATAATTTTACACGCATTGAACCCTCCTACTACTGAGAAAAAGCCTCTCTTTGATTCTGTAGGTAGCATGCATTGCCATGTCTTCCTCAGACTGTACCTAAGACCTTCTGGGTGACTCCTATTACCAATGGTATGAAAAAGAAAACTTCAAAGTTGGTTTACACATGAAAAATAGATTTTAACAAGTCAGAACTATGTAACTATAAGTAACAACTTCATTCATTTGGGACAATAAAGAAGAGAAATCAGTGTGCAATCTCAAGCAGTGCTTTTAGGGTTTCCTTTTCCTGATCATGCATATGATCAAATGTATGGGTATACACTAAATAATGAATAGCCTGAACAGATTTACTAAGTAGTCATGATTATGGAGGAAATACACATGGAGAATTAGTGACATGGCTGTTGGAGACAGAGTTAAGTGGGAGATGAGCAGAAGAGAATCTTAAATCATTACTGAGTGTGAGGATGGTAGTCTCCTAAATATGCACTGTTAACTAAAGGGAATACATTGCACAGGAGACTTAAAAATCAGATACACAAGGTGATGGGTGCTGTGGATATCAGTATCTCTCAGAAGCTACCCTCATAATGCTCAAATTTAAGAACAAAGTGTACAAAGAAGTTATACAAGAGTTAAGCCATTGGAGTATAATCTTCTCTCAGGCTAACCTGGCCAAGCAAGTTCTAAGCAATCAGTTGACTAAAGGCTAAGATGAAAGCTGAGTCTCCAGTATGGCACCATCTTCCAGGACCAGACAGACACGTGATGGGAAATTCATTACATTGGATTTTATATCATGTTAAAGGTAGCATTTTTCAGCTCTTTGGAATAAACTCTGAACAAGGATTTTCCTTCTGAGTCCCATAATCTGCCAGTAGTATTACTTTTGGACTCACTGAATACCTTATTCCCTGTTACAGGATCCCAAGTACAGTATTGTTTCTAGCCAAGAAACTTACTTACTATGAGTGAGGGGATAAACTAATATTTATGGAATTTTCTGGTGTTAACCTCATACTCCATCACCTAAAAGTATAGTGAAAACATGGGGCTTGGAACTAAGATAACAAATGGGAATAGCTCATCTCATTATTAATATCCCAAATCCTCTCCTAGCAACTATGGGCTTGCTAGTTTCTAAGTGAAGATTTCTTCTAGTTTGGCACAAAGCAAAATTTGTATGAAACTAGAAGTTGAGATTGTCTCCTTAATGGTTCATGGTGATGAACCAAGAGGCAAAGAAAGGGTTTGCCAAACAGTTTGGGGTGACTGATCCTGGTAATTGTGGGAAAACAATGTGACTGCTAAATGATGGGATGGGGTGTGAGATAGAAGATATTTTCTGGGAAGTTAATAGAGACTACAGAATTGATTGCAGATAGGACTACTAAATGTTAGGCAACTGACCAGATAAAGAAACATAAGTAGCTGAGATGACAGATGAGAAGAAGGGAGATAAATAACAGTTACCAAATAAAAGAAGCTATTAGTAGGAATTTTTTGCTTCATGCACAGGTATAGAAATTACTATAGTTTCAAAGCAAATTGTGCATTCTATAATTTGTGTACATTAACCTATATCATTTTACATAACATATTTCATGGTGAAAAAACTTTTAGTTTAATGTTTAGGCTAAAGATTATCAAAATGGGTTGTAACTAAACTAGAAGAGTATGAACCATTACCTTCATTTAGACAAACTGACGGAAATGTGCATTCTTTTCTTTGTAGGAAGAGAGTGAATATATCTTCATTTGAATAAGATATAATTACAATATGTTACATTTGGAAATGTTTTCATATCATTACTGTTTATAAATTTAAATATTGGTAGAGGGGTTTATATGATTTACATTTTCTGAAGGGTAATTAATATGCATCCTTATTTCTTTATCTGGCTGTCACATCACAGTGACAAGAGGTGTAGAAAATACATTTCTCAGAATGCTTTTCTAGTCTTAGAATCCACCCAGCTGAGGCCAGGAGGTTTGAAAGGCCAAAAACAAGAAGAAACTATTATTCTATTCTTTTCCAGTAAGGACACCTTACAGGATTCAATATGTGTGATTTTTTGCAGTTCCTTTGGATCCCCTGGGAATGATTCATCTGGGGCCTTGGTGACCTAAGATTATTAAAGGAAGCTCCCTGTGATTATTGACAATTCCTAATCCTCTTGTGGGTGCTGATGAAATGAGTAATAGTGAGTGCTCTCCATGGTCACTGCACCTCCAGCCTTTCTTATGCATCTCTAAATCACCTAGTTCACTGTATTACATTTCTTCCTCCTTGAAATACCAGTCAACTTTTTGCTTTTCAATGTATCTGATCTCTGATTGATACCACGAGATTTATTAAATTAATCCTGAAAATTCAAAATTCGGCAACATTACATGATTTAGTCTAAACATATCCAAGGAAAATTTGATAGATTGACTCTTCTTTCACTGAAAAGTCTTTAAACAGGCTTCACAGGATGAGAAATAAGAGAACATGGTTGATTTATTTCCTTCTTTCTTTCCCTCTACCCTTCCTTCTCCTTCCTTTTTTTTTTTTTTTTTTGTACCAGGGATTGAACTCAGGTCCTTGCACTGCTTGCACAGCAGGTGGCAAAACCACTGAGCTAAATCCCCAGCCCCTCCTTCCCTTCTTTTCTCTCTCTTCCCCTTCTCTCCCTTTCTCCTTTCCTTCCCTGTTTTTGATGCTAGAAAGCAAGTGTTTTATTGATTTAAATATTTGAGCTGGGGTGGATGATGCAACATTTCCCTTAAAAGATTTACCTCCTGAACATTGAAATGTGCTGCTTTGTAATTCAGAAATCTAAGGGTCAATCCAAGAAACTGCAATCAATAAAAGGTGATTACAATGCGTCATATGGATGAGCATAGGTTTTACATGAATTAAAATGTTTTCAGAGTTTGCTTGAATAACATGAATATGCAACTTTCCCTATCTTCCTATCCTTCTCCTTGCTTCACTATATTGATGTTGGCCATTAATTAAAAATAATAAGGATGGTTATGTCAATAGCTTGAATTTACTGAGCAGATATTGGTCAGACATTATGCCAAACACTTCACATATGTTTTCATCCAATCTTCACCATAATCTTATTATTGCCTGCATTTTATGGACTGAAAAGATGAGGCTTAGAAGAACCAAGTGCTTTTTCCATACAGGTGCTAGCATAAAATAGTAAGTGAGCCTACTCCTTCAAGTATGCCATTTGCTCATTTGGGTACTATGTTGATGCTCTTGGAGAAAGTCCTATTATTGAGGCTTTGGAGAAATCCAAATGTAAGGCTCTCCCTTTTTTCTTCTTTCTATAAATACCTTTGTGAAAATAAACTCATACTCAGGATTTAAATTAAACTAAAGTGGCAAAGGAAATGAGGACAGTTACCTAAAATAAAATCTACTTTCTGCTTTATGGGTAGTGGATTTTTATAGGGCTCTTTTGCTTCTCAAGAAGAACTCTGGATTTATTTCCTGCTGGTGGAAACTTTTATTCTCCTAGTTTAAAATAAGGTTGAACTAACTAGGAGAAGGAAAGGCTCTATATAAACTGGGCAGACTTTTACAATATCTTGATGTTTGAAGTAACCTGAAAGCATTTGTTTGCCTTTCCATTACAATTTTTCTCAAGTGATGTGAATTCTTTTTGGCTTGGTTGACGTGGGAACCTGCATCCGAGTCCTTTGAAGTTTCAGGCTCGGGAACTCCAACAGGAAGGACAAGAAGAGTAAAGGGGAGTAACTGTAGGCATAGTGACACACCACCACATGTTACCCTGCACTAGTTTGATCTGCACTAAACTCATCGGTGGAGAACTGCTGTGTACCCTTCAACCGCCAGTCTTAATGTGATCCAATTTCCACCTTTAGCTATCTCTTAAAAATCCACGTCGTCCTTCAGAGACAGTTATGGGCTAGGTGCCTCGTTATGTGTCCTCACAGTTTCCTATCAAACCATGTGGTACTCACCAAGACTGTTACATGATTGTAATACTATTCATTTTATATTTTCTTTTCTTTTTAGCCTGGAGATGATGATATACTGCAGACTAGAGAAGTTGGCTTAGTTTTAATTTCTGTAAATTTACAATCAAAGATTGTAGTAGCAACATGGATAAATACAAAGGGGGAAGAGAGCATGCTTTCCTTGGGAGATAAACTAGTGAATTGAATTTTCTATTTTAGAACTTGGACAGGCATGTCCCTGAACAGGAAAAAAACTCTCAGGTGTGGAGTAGGTTTTGTCAATAACACTAATTCCGCTGATAAATAATTATTTAGGGTGGAGGATGTCAAGTCACTGGTTTAAAACCAAATTTTGTTTGGTGATACTACATGTAGTTTTAGTTATGGGGCAAAAATCAATAATTTTAAGCTTGGAAGCAATCTAATGTCAAATACAATTATTGTCTTATATGCCAACTTTACAGGTAAAGAAGTAGGTGCTCAAAGTCACACAGCTATTAGTTTTGATACTGAAAGGTAGAGTTGATTCTCACCAACATTAATACACTTTTCAAAAAAAATGGAAGTTTCATAAATGTACATCAGCCAACGAGTGTCCTCTGTTGCAGGTAATGGAAGTAGACTTTGGTTAACTTCAGCAAAAGTGAAATTTACAGAAACATTTCAAGAACATGTGAAATAAAATGAGGATGAATCTGGCTTTAGCTGAATAAACCAGGAAGCTCCCTTGGGTCAAAACTCCACAACCATGTAAGTACAATTGACTCATTGTTAATGGAAGATTACAATGACAGTGTAGGATGTTGGGAATTAATGTTGGTTCAGTATACCAATTCTCTGGATGAATCCTTTTACCCACGGCCTACTTATGTGGGCCATTAGTCACAAATCACTTTAGAGAAGCAAATTATCAGTGTTCGAGCTAACATATTGAATTATGAATCTCCAAGATATGTTTATTTGATATTAATTTTAAATTGTATTACTTCCTCCTTTGATTAATATCCCTAGCATCTATTGTTCACACCAATTCCCATGAATTTACAAACATAATTGTCAAGCTTCTGAAGTTTCTTTGGCTAGGAGCCATTTCTCTTTGGAACCATACTGAAATTTGCTTCAACTAGAAGTCTGGGCATGATGAAGGATGTGCCTTCTTTGCATATGAAAGAAATTGACTTAATTTCAACATACCACTCCTATGGGGAAGTTACAATACTTTGAGGAAATTGGGAAAGGGTTCTTTGCTTGGTAACATAAATTTAGCGAGATAGATGAAGATAATTCGGTTGTCCCAGAATCACTGCCACATTCTCCTCCCTATTGGGTTCTCACTTTTTCTCAGACAATGCCATAACTTTTATGTAAAACAGGAAGAATGTGAACCTAATGACATTATAGTTTGGCAGTCAAATTTTCATATTTGAATAATTCAGGATTAATGCTGATGATTTATTTTGGCTTTTGTTTATTAAGCACAGTTACAACAAGTACCAAGGTTTATAGTCTGGAACTCAAGATGATGGTTGAGAGAAGTTCTGTTAATAGAAATATATTGTAAGCCAATGTGTGAAGCTCTCATACAATTTTAAACATTCTAGTAATGACATTTAACAATTAACCAGGCAAAATTTTTATATTTTACTTAATCCAACATACCATTTTTATTTTATCATAAAACAGTATACAATTATTAATGAAAAATTTTAAACGTTTTTCTTAAGCAATAGTTTTTCAATAATCCTAGGTGTATCTCAACATCTGGGAATAGTGAGTACCATACAGAATAAGTCTCAATATCTTCCACTCTAAACATTTCAGTATAGCAGACATCCTGCCCTATCATCTTTTTTTAAAAAAAAAATTAAATTTATTGGTATATTTTAGGTATAATTATGAT